TCGGAGGAACGTATCGCCTCCATCTTCAGGGTAGAAGGAAAAATATAAGAAATCCGCAAGTGAAGAGACTGTGAGAACCGGTAACCAGTCTGCTTTTACTGGTTCTCACGGTCTCTTCGCTTGCAGATTTCTTATATTTTTCCTTCTACCCTGAAGATGGAGGCGATACGTTCCTCCGAAACGTCGGTTAACACCACATATACACGGTGCCAAATCCCAGAAGACTGCTTTCTTCATAGCCACCACCGCGAAAGCCTCAAATCTTACAACGTATTTGATTGCCCTAGTAAAAACATCCATGCAAATCAATCATTACTGCACGGGAAGCAGCACAAGAGACTGTAATAACCACTCAGTCATGTGACACAATTTAAAAGAAGATGCAGGGATGCACTGGGTCTTAACAAGATTCAGCCAAGGGTGATGACTGATGATCAAAGAATTCAACCTGTTTCAGTCTATGAATGTCTCCTAAAAGCTATGATGACAAAAATGTTCTGAAAAGTGCCATCACTAGACACAAGATTAAAGTTTATGGGTATGTTGCTGCAACAAAATGAGTCACTGCTATGGAAAAGCCCTAATTTGCCAGGTCACAAAAAAGCATAAGTGCATCTGAAAGTCAAAACAATGTTGATCTCTTTATTATCTTAAACTTCTAAGGCATGTGAGGACTGTGATATAAAGGCAACCAGAACTGTGAATTGCAGGAACATGGCACCTCACACAGAACTGTCAATGTGAGAATTTGATTTCTGACTTTCCAGAACCTCCCTCTCTGCTTCACCTATTCACTCTACACATTTTCCTATTCCTGAAAATAAAAATGACCCTGAATGACGAAGATTTCAAATGGTAGAGGACATCGTAATGAATATGCTAGATTAACTGAGAGTGAGTCAACATATGTGCTTCAGACAATGCTTCCAACAGTGGAAAGGTGTTGGCAGCATGGCATTGCTGCCAAAGAAAACTATTTTGAAGGGGGTAAGTGCAACTAAGTTGTAAGTCACAAAAAAAGTTATTAATGATGAATTCTGGGAGCTTTCTGAAAAAAACCTTGCAACCCATGCCCTCATGTGTTGCCCTTCTGTCAAAGGACTAAATCTTGCCAAAGTCAGAATTTTTAACTGCATGTTATTATAAATATGTACTGGACTGGTATTGTCACCCTCAGCATCCCCACCCTTCTCTTTCTGGGAAGAAAAAATTTATTACTTATACAGGGTGTAAATAAATATATTGTGACATNGACAACCCCTCCCTACCCAGCAGTGACGTGGCGGATGAGTCAGCGCTCCATCCCCCCCTCCGCGGTGACGTAACACGGCACGAGTAAACAGCGTTTGCGTATACGCAAACACGGCACCGCTACCTACTGTGACGTGGCGGGCAACAGGCAAGAGCGAATGGAATAAAAGCCGGCTGAGCAGCAAGCAAGAGTTAGTGTGTGATCAACAGTTCTCAAGGCAGCCGCCTACGAGTTGAGTTGAAATATAGCAGCAGTCACGGTAAGAAGACCCGAACGTGTGGTTACAAGATTTTATGTGACAGTGTGCGATAACTAAGAAGTCAGCGAGTGGAAGACTTATTGTGTGCTTTCAAGACTTTGTGTGTGTGTGCTGTAGTACAGTTATATTTGGAGTGTGTAATTCAGAGAGACTTGTATAGCTTCCGCGTTATTGATACGTGAAGACTCTTGAAGATAGTGTTAAGAGATTTTGTTGTAGGGTTTGTAAAGTGTGGAAACCCGTAACTGTGTGATAAATAATTGTAGCCGATACTTGTAGGTTGTTAAATAAACCAATTAACAATCTCTACAGCGTCTTCAGTAACGAAACACGTTACAATATGTTACAATGCTCTGTGGCAGATAAATGGGTTCAATCTGATCAAATTTTGTTAATACACCCATGTCCAGAAACGCTTCCTTTTGGCACTAAGGGCCACAAAGTTTTCAAGACGATGTATAAGTTTTTGGGAATGTTATCATTGTTTTACATTATAAAAGTTGCTCAAAATGGCTGCCGCCGACTTCATTGCATGTTCTGCACCGCCTGGCCATGTTATGCCGCACTCTTTGAAAGATTCCTGGCATTTCCCGGATGGTTCCAGCTACTACTGCAATTCTTGCCACAAGATCATGTTGTGTCTCCACTGGAGTCTCATACACCAGGCTTTGCATGTACCCCCAGAGAAAGAAATCCAGTGGAGTCAAGACAGAAGAGCAAGGGGGCCAGGTTATTGGGCCTTCACGTCCAATCCATCTGCTGCCAAAAGTTTCATCCAAATACTCATGGACAACATTAGTGGAGTATGCTGGGGAGCCATGATGCTGGAACCACATTTCATGCCAAGGCCCCACTTCCAGCAGCTTGGGCTGCTGGTCCTGGCGTATAAACAAAGCGTTTCCGGACATGGGTGTATTAACAAAATATGGTCACATTGCACCCATGTTATCTACCAGAGAGCGTTGTAATTTATATGTATTTACACCTTGTATATAGTAAATTCTATCTGTATTGCATTTGCTGGATATAACCTTAAAGTTTTGCATCATCAGGTTAATAACTGTTGACTTAAACATAGAATTTCATACAAAATACATAGAAATTCTTATAATCTTCCTTCAAACAGACAGCATATTCTTAGTTGAAAAAGCCAATTAGTTATTGCTTTCAAACTGAAATCTAAATTACAACTATGCATGGCTTCCATTTTATTTTACATTCTACAAATGCTGCATAAATTTAAAACATCATTACATGATTATTTCAAGGCCATGCACCTGGTGGAGCTAGTGCCACTCCCATGCCAAAAGTTCACTGTATCCTCCATATTATTATGGTAATTTTCTTTTATATTCATGATGTTACTCTTCCGAGCATATTATGGAATTGATGGAATATGCTAGAAAGGGTAACATCATGAATATAGAAGAAAATTACTACATTTACAAATTTAAACAACTCAAGAAACTAATAGAAGAACAAAAGAGTACTAAAGAAAATGATAACCAGAATAGTATGTTCGACATAGCACTAAGACATGAGCACACCCTCATAATAATGTCAAAGGGAACAGGGATATAAATACTCCACACAACACACCACAAATCAGTGACTCAATACACAGCAAAAGGAGAAACAAGTTAAAAACACAGGTAGGACACACAAGATAGAACTCAAAAACTGCAGTCAAAGAAATATTAAGTAAGTACATACACTTTTATATAAAATAACCATAATATAATTGCAGATCCTTAACGAATCATATAAAAAAGGGGAAAAAACGCTGCCTGGACCTCAGAGGATGGCAAATAACAGCCCACTCGCCCATTTTGAGAGAAGAGGCACAGAGACACAAACCTCAGTGGTTCAAGATTTGAAATATTAAGAACATTAATAATATATTTTTAACTTAAACACCTTTTAAATTAATTAAAAATCTTTATACAAAAATCTAAGATTGTGTACTATGATTTATGTAATAGTAATAGTTCCTTAACATGTTGTTATTGCCCTCCGAATCTGGTCACAGCTGACTGAAACGCATTATATATACTGAGTCCTATTGGACGGTGTTGACAAATCATTTTATAATATCTAACTAGTGTGACAGACCAGAATGAATAGAGGTAAACAAGTAACACAAATATTTATGGATAAAATATTGGCATTAATATGACAGCTGATACTGTATAATGACAAGGCTTTGCACACAGACTAGGAAGGTGGGTGAGGATGTCTACTTCTCCCTGCCTTCTCGTATGTTGCATAAGTACTTCTCTAACTTCAACAAAAAAACTTCTTATGAACGTAAGATGGTCATTATAGTGAGAATTATATTTGTTAAGCAAAAAACAGGTACAAACGAACATGCTTTACTGTAGCAAAAATTTGTAAATTGAGTGTCGTAGCACTTTCTCACTGCTACACGAAATTCAGGCACACAATTAATTTATTCATCCAATGAAGTTTGCTGTTGGTGTCAATAACACTGCATTATCAATTTATTTTCTACCATTATATGTTGCAGGTCCATGGACTGTAACTGAAATTGTTCTGAGTGACATCACAATACTAAGGTTGTAATCATAATTTAAATATAAATCATGCCAAAATTCATGAATGGTTAATTTTTAGCCCAGTTTTCTAAATTTGAAAGAAAGACAGGCTTATAACATCATTACATCATTGTGTTAGTTTCCCTGTTAATAATGCTTGAACCAACTGATGATTTTTTAAACTCTGTACGAACACAATGGTACGAGAGGCTGTCCCACTTCTGTGCAAATTTTTTCCTGTCATCTAGGCATTTGTGAAAATGACATTTTTGGTCTCAGATGAGAATGAGGGTATTCTTTTCTTGGTCAAATCGTTTCACTATAATCAAAATTCCTAACATCAGCCACTTTACCACAATGCACTGAACTCTGCTACTTATCCCTTCTGATATCTGATCCTATTTCCATTAAACATTTTCGTAACTCACTGCATCCTTTTTCACCATGGGCAGAAACCCTGTTGACAAACAGACATGTGGTAGCACTGCCACCCATTACAATTCTGATGGATCAGGTAGTCTGCATGCTACAGCGTAGGCCAAAAGCAGTTATTTTAAAATTCTCAAAGCTGAAGACTGAAAAATACACGTTAAGATAAACTTTTTTCTCAATTTGATCTAAAAATTTGATGTTCATGTTTACTGTCATCACAAATAGCTACAAAACTAACTAACTAACTGACTAGCTAAATAACTAACTCCATGAAGACTAGTCTTTCTTTGGAAGCCACCTGTCACTTAGTTACTCCAGAATTCCCCAATATTTTATGGAACCCAAAGGTTCGTTTCCACGTTCATAAGGCCCCATCAATGGTCCCTACCGAAGCCAGGTGAATGCAGCCCGTTACAGACCACACCATACCTACAAATTCCTGATATGGAAGGGTCCTGAAATTCTGTGTGGTAAAAGAAACATTTACAAAACATTTTATTAAGGCCATATTTAAATAGATGTGTTGGAGTTGAGGTTCTCACAGCGATGACTGTGAAGAGTATGGTAGTCTGGATTGCATTGCCATATAGGTGAAAAGTAAGCCACTCAAGAAAGCAGCAGAAGCAACTGACAAGCTGAGCTTGGACTGTGAAATTGGAGGTGATACGTTCCTCTGAACTACATTGTGTTACAACCCAGAAGATGGTAGTCTTTGTAAGACGGTTGTATGGCAGCCATGTGAAGTTAATATTTATCATTCTGTCTGATGGGAATAACTGAAGATTTCTTCTAGATATATGAGGGAAATGTGGTACAGAGAGGGACCATAATAATATCTACATAGTTCGCATGGATTATTTTCTGTGAATTAGAAATTACAAACATGGAGATGATGACAATTTCTTAGTAATGCCTATTAGCTTTTTATACTAGTGGGCATTATGCATAGGAACAGACCACTAAGTTCCATAACTATTACTTTTATAATTACTACTAAGCTCTCCATAAAGGTGAACATATATGAAGGAAAGTTCTGATACATCCACCGAAAAACTACGCAAACAGGCTTAAATGTTACAGACATAAAGTTTAATATCATTCTAAATGAAATCACACATTGTTATATGGCAGTACACATTAGCTGCTGCACATGCAATCCAAATGAGCCCGACGTAATAAGAAGGTAAGTCAATAAGTAAGTTACAGATGGATATAGAACTTAAACAAATAAGAGTACTGATTTGAAAAATGCTTTTATTTCTCAGCATAATCTCCCTGTAGATTGAGGCACTTGTCCCATCGTTTCACAAGCCCCTAAAAACCAGCAGCATAAAATTTTTTGGGCTGCTGTTGAAACCAGGCAGTGACTGGGATCACAAAGGCATACTGCTCACCGCAATCAAGCCTCAAGGACAAACCGTAAATGCCGACTCCTACTGTAACATCCTCAGGAACCTTCGTAAGGCCATTCAATGGAAGTGACCAGGACTCCTCACCAAAGGCGTGTTGCTCTTGCATGGCGTGAGTCCCCATACTGCCAACAAGACAAATGAGATGCTGCAAAATTTCAAGTGGGAAGTCCTCGAGAATCCTCTGTATAGCCCCGACCTTGCTCCAAGCAACTTCCATTTGTTCGGCCCACTTAAACATCATCTTTTGGCTGAACATTTTCCTGACGATGAAGCTGTAGAAATGGAAGTCACTGCCTTGTTCTAACAGCAGCCCAAAGAATTTTATGGTGCTGGTTTTCAGGGGCTTATGAAACGATGGGACAAGTGCCTCAATGTACAGGGAGATTATGTTGAGAAATAAAAGCATTTTACCCTTGTATATAAACTCTTTTAACATTATACAATAGTGTCACTGGCATCCCTAAATCATTCAAATTCAGTATTTTAACATACCTTATCTTCAAAATCCTGCCCGTTTCCAAGGTTACGTGCCCTCAATTCAGCAATGAATTGCGACTCTTGTTCATAACGTTTACGAATTTCCTCTCTCCACAGAGCAGCAGTAGTGCCAGGTCCATCACACTCTCCTCCATCTTCTGTTTCAAAGTCTGCAGATCCAAGCAAACAACTCAGTTCCACAGAAAGTCCCCAGAATTTGACTTCACAGGTCAGTGGTGTGGTGCTTTATATAATACTATGGGAACTCCTGTGTTCTTGTGGAACATTGATCTGGAAAATGGCACTTCAAGTCTCACTACCTTCCCACATTTTTAGGTATGCAGCTAACCAATTCACTAATTCATTTCATGTAGCAGTCATTTTTCTTGAAAAGTTGATATCTGATCAAGGTAGAAAAATTCCATGCCTTTTATGGGGGCCTGAAGGTTCCTTGCCATTACCACAAATGTCTGTCACTGGACTCTACATTGGGTCAAATAAATCAAGTCCAAACCCCATATCCTGTTTCTTTAAAATCCATTTTAATATTAGCCCACCCATGCCTAGATTTCAAACCAAATGACAGATTAACATTATGCAATTTGAATTCAACTTTTATAAGGTAAAACATAAAATAACAATATGGTGGATGGGAAAGATCCATATTCAGTTTTGTATTTGGTAGCAACAACTACTGAACTAATGAGACTTAGAATGTATTTGGTATGAAAACAGATCATAAGGAAACCTTGAGTATGAAGTAGCTCTTGTGTGTTAAAAATTACAAACACAGCAAGAATATGGTCTTTGCAGTTATATCTCACAAGTTACAGATCATGGTAATGTAATTAGCAGAAATTTCACCTAAACAGAGCCAGAACAGGCATGGGTTCATAGATTCGTACTAACTGCTCCTATGACAGTGAATAGTTTATGAAAAGCACCACAATTTCAACCAGTTCAGTCTTGGGCCAACTTAAAAAAATCAACTGATGGGCATATTCATTTATGTTTAACAACTGTTTAGGTCATGAACTATATGTACTATGATGCTGAAGGATGATTATGAATTCTGACTTAGAGACAAAGGGAGGAAGAAGCCATGGTGTTTAAGGCACAGAACAGCATCTGTGTGGAAAACATTGACAGAAGTGAAACTCTGGTGAAACAAAGCCATCTGAAATACTGGAAAACTTGGTGTCCCATGAACAAACACTAGATTTTATAATTATTGGCTTGGAAGTAAAGACAACAGATTTATTTTTATTACATTTAATAAATATGTATGTAATCTCGGTAAAGTTCTCTAATGACTGAACCATCCAAGCAGTGAGAAATATCCTGTTTCTATGCAACCTGGCAAACCATCACTATGTCTACAGAAGCCTGCCACTCGTCCTTTACCTGAACCTATTACTAGCATTATTCTAGGTAATTACCACTTTCTCAATATAGTTTACTATGACCCTCAACATCAACACTGCTTTTCACACCAACTACCTTCACGTTGCACAGTCCAATTTGAAAAGTTAACAGTTACTCAGGCAGCCAGAAATTCTCAGCTTTCAGGGAACATGAAGGTTCTGTGCAATGTTCACAAGAGCCTGCCACTGGATTCAGTCAATCAACTTTACATATTCAAGATCCATTTCTATACCAGCCTCCCATCTGTGCCAAAGTCTCTGACATAATCACCTGAGAGTTTAACTAGTTTTTATATGCAGTTCTGGTTTCCACCACATATGCAACATGTTACATCCACCTCATCTCCTCTATAGAATCACCGTACACATCAGTATAGAATTTTCCCCATCATATATATCTGAATTGAAGCTTTCACAGTGACTGTATACCGTGAAGTCTTCTTGGGCAATCAGCTGTGTGAACGTGAATTTGGTGGCTGATGTCTGCGAGAGTGCAATGGATCTGAGTTTCTCACAGTGACGACTACAAAGGGTTGTAATGCCATGAGAGAGAGAACTGACCAAGCTCAGCTTGCCACTTACTTCTGTCATTTCTTTCACCCTGAAGATGGAGGCATGTTCCTCTTGAATGTGAGGCTGTCCCCATCAACTGGGGTTCATGGCATGAGCGCTGTACTTAATACATTCATACACAAAGCTGTAATCTGTCCCAGTCCAAACCACAAGAGGAACAATAAGCAGAGACAAATGACCAGTGTCATCTTGTCCTGGCACCGATCATGTGGGGATCAGTCGACTGGTCATCAGAATTCATGTCGCTTCAAGGATGACAGGAGGCCATGGAGATCCAGCTGCACCCCAATAACTTTAACAGAGATATGGAATTCCTTCTAAGTCACTCATGGTACCTGGCCATAACACTACAAGGATCAAAAACAAGCAGCTTGAATCCTGGTGGACGACTGGCTGTTCCCTGTATGGCAGTCTGTACCGGGACAGATGACAGCTCTGTGTGAATATGACACTCAACCCCTGATGATGAGCAGAGACAGCCTCCAAAATACCAGACACCAACTCCACACTGACACAACTGATTGCCTGAGAAGACAGACTTCACTTCTTCCTCTTCCTCCCCGTACTTCCCCTCTCTTGATTTCTAACATTTTCCCCAGCATTGTGTTCCCCCTCTAAAAACTGTCACTCCATGTGCATCCCTTAATGCGAGAGACTTATTTTCATATTCATACAATACAAGAGGTAAAATACAGTTTTCTGTATTTGAATCTTGATTTGTTAGTGTTCTTTCCAATCACCTGAATATGGAAATATTTTTTAATTATCTGGTAGCCATCAGTAACATGAGTCTGTCCAAAAATCTTGCAGAGGAAGTGTCGGAATAATTCTGTGAACTCAAAACCCAATTATATAAACACTAAACCACTGACACAAAATTTTCGCAGAGTATGACATGACTGTGGTACATGACATATACAAAATATTCAGTGATCATATCCAAACCCAAACTACATTTGATAAAATACTGTAATGGATTTGCTCAAAATGTTTCTAGGCAATGGCCTGGTAGACATGTTCCGACATGTAGCAATGGCAGATGTGTCTCAGTGGACGAATGCCATAGCTAATTCCTAAGCAAAGATCAGCATGCCAAAGAACTTGCTGGCTAGGAATTACATGACTTATGTTTCCTGTGTTGTCCGTGCGAAGCCTATATAACGAAGACCTATTGTAGCTTACATTAGCGCAGAGTACAGTGTAGTTAAAAGAGTCCAGAAGAGTTCTTAGTTCAGTACTGAGGTTCCAGGGTGACTGAACAAGATCTGAAATGCCAGTTTCTGTGTTGAGCTCCGCTGTTAGGAGACCACTAGTGGGAACTGAGAATACTAGGGTGTGTGCAGCGATGAACTGTAAATCGTGTAAATTAGCGACAGCACTGTACTAAGTGCAATTAAAGAGAACTTGTAACCAAAGTGCTAATGAATCCAATCATCTCATCTAGAACCTGTTAATTTCATCACGCGTACCCTCCTACACGTGACAATATTGTGAATTATTATGCATAAGAAGTAACTGAATTGATGCTTCACAGTGGGTATACTGTGCCTGTCCACCTGAACACCTAATCTCTCAGAACTGCTAATATGTGTAGTTCTGAATCCTAATTAGGAGACGATCTAACCCAGTGTTCTTGTGGATTTCCACACCTCATCCAAGAAAAACTGGCTTCCACATCTTCTGTATTTCATCATTTTATACTGGACTGCTTTTCATTCAGTGCATGACAAGACTTCTCACTCACATTTGATCAGTCTCACGCTGTTACTACTGCATCACAAAGAACTGTGTGTGATTGTTACAGTGTAGGACAGACTGTTTATAAATGTTACATTAAGAAAAAATCTTTTACAAAATGTTACAGAAAGTTGAGGAGAATTTTTTCTGGTATTTCAGTTCTTTCAGGGTGGCTATAAACATCTCAGAGGAACATAATGCCTTCATCTTCAGAATAGGGTATCCTTAAACATTCTTTTTTTTTAGATCTGACGTTCTCAGGGGAGTAGCTGAGTGTGAAGCTGTGCAGTTGCCTAGCAGCTCACTGATGCTCCACAGCATCATGTCCTAGCAGATGGTACCCTCCTACATTTTTTGTGAATGAATAACTAATCAGCATTTGTAACCTGCTCAATCACATAATCTGACTCCATGCAATTGTTATGTACAGCAAAGTTGAAAGGACAAAATTTTCCAGAAGAATCCATATAGAGAGAATGAACTTGCAGAAAAAATCACAGATAGAGGATAATCAATTCTGCAAGGACTTCAGTAACTGTTAATATGATATTCAGCATCGTGGAGGATGTCTGAGGGCTGAAAGTCATTTCTAACACCCACCTACAGCACATCATGTCATGGAAGGTGGTCGCAAGAAACACTTGCAATATGGAACAAGAAGCTAAATTAATGGTTCTTTTAACGAACTTCAACATCTTTGGCAGTAATTTTGAGAATACATAATATCTAAAAGGTTGTGATGCTGGATAATGTCAAGAAACATAATATTAATACATAAGATGATCATAATATGTACAAGGTTATCTCGGCACTTTACTGGGATGGCCTAAAAGAAATTCAATGCAACATTTCGAGTGGCTTGACCAGCATTCACAATCTGTCAGCAAGCCTTCCTCATGTGAGGTGTTCTTGCAGTATTACACTCAGTAAGAATTCAAAAGTTAAGCTACGTTTATGTACAATCCGGCAAAAGACTGAGAACATCGCTATCCTGGGATAAGATTTACCCTTTCCTGTGTGAATGAACCAACCACAATTATGAAACAGGTTTTACAATCTGATTTACCCAATGTTTTAAGGCTCCTTCTCTAAAGTATCTAACTCATATGCTAGCTAAAAGATGGCATGCCCATGCATAATTCTCATAATTAGGCAAAAACATCTCTCATATGTCCTTAATTGTTTACAGAAGAGACCAAAACAGTCTGGAGATCACCGTGTACTCGTAGCCTACAGAAGTAAGAAGGGTGTAAGTGCTGCTGTGACTGTATAGCCTTCTGGACTGTGAGACCGCGCATGTAACCCTGTTAAGTGGATACTAACGTTTCAGAAGAGCATGCTGCTGCCATGTTCAGGGTTAAAGTGTTTATGGCAAGGAATCAGGTGGGTTACATACAAAATGGACACTAGGATACAAAGGGAAAGGGAAAGGAGAGAGAGTGTGGTGCGGCTCAGCAGGAAGAGTGAAGATGAAAACAGCCACTGCCATAACTAAAGCAAAGGAAGCAAACGTTAGTGTCCACCTACAAGGCTCCTAAAATTTTTTATAACAGTAGTTGAAGAAATAATCTGGTATTCCTAATATTAATTTAAGTGGCCCACCATAATATCTGATATGGCATAAATACAACAGTGTTTTAGGTTTGCAAAACAGAAATTCAAGAATAATTACCATATCTACACACTGAAAGCACACATTATAAATAAATGTACAAATAAAATGATCATACATACTTGCAGACAGAAAGATGAGTCTTGAAGATGTAAATATACTGAACACACATACATACATACAAGTACATACAGTATGATAATTCTTTCAGGTCTTCTGATGAATTCAGTATGACATTTTGATAATTATGTACTGGTCTGATGCTGGACTGAGTCTGCCACTTTCAAAATTAGAATAAAATAAACTTTAATCCACAGGGTGATGTATGTTAAAATAAAAGGGCCTCAAGTGACTAACTGTTCAGAGAACAGTGGTTATCATTAAGAACCACATGCTTTAACATGAAAAATCTTGCATTTTGCCTAAAGTGTATATTTATGTGTTCCATACGATTCTCAGAACAAGGAGCATTAACCAGTCGAATATCCTTCTATTTCTGTGACATAGGAACTAAATTTTTAAAAATGATTTAGCTGAATTTCAGGCTTGAAAGACTTTGTGGCTATAAAAATCTATTTGCCTGGTCTTGTGGTTCACTGGAATATGTAAATATAAGGAGCTTTCTGCCTCCACTGGAACTAAAGAATACATTTTTCTCATTGTCCCTAACTCCTCATAAGAGATCAAAGTGAGGAAGTGGGGGGAGGAGGAGAAAGAAGTGGAGAGAGATTAGGAAGAAAAAGACAGTGGAATATTTTTGCACAAGTTGAGTAAATGGTGGTGGTGTGGGGGGGGGGGAGACATATGAAAGCCACTTTTTGAACTTCAATTCTGCTGACACCACATGCTACTTAATGCTGTACTGCAATATAAATCACGGTTTTCTCTAACTACAGAATTAGTTATCACTGTTAAGTCACTCCTACTGGTTGGTGTGAAAATATAATGAAGAAAATATCAAGGTCAAAAAGGGAAGTTGATTTCAGCATGTTGCGATGACCTTCCCAACTTCATACAGATATAATGTCATACCTCATGTCACATTATTTTGAGCAAATACATGAGAGGGTCAGCTATGGACAATGTAATGGCTGTGCCATAGCTCAGGCGGTTAATTGCTGGCTTCCCATTACGGTGTTCTGGGTTCGAGCCCTGGTTTGGGATTTGTGGTGGGCAAAGTGGCACTGGGGCAGGTTTTCTTCAAGTACTTCGGTTTCCCTTGCAAATCTTCATTCCACCAATTGCTCCACACTCATCATCTATCATCTGGGGCTGGTACAATGGGCCAGTAGTGGCCACAGTACCGAGTGGACTCAGTCTCACCCCACTAAGAATGATAATAAAAATATAGGGACAATGGAAAGGGCAGAATATTTTTTCCATCATTCAAAACATTCAGCATGCATTTATCATTATACATAATTTTTAATTATCTACAGTTCCCATCATTAGGGTATGTAATAAAGAGGAAACCATATGGATATGAACACTCACTTGATTTACGAATTCAGCAACTTCAACACTCAACTTTTCCCATAACAAATCAAACCGAATGCAACAGATTCCTTCAAATGATTAAACAAAACTGATTTGACATGGACTGTTGGCCCATACATCTTACTGCTGCAACTATATTAAATACTTTAAGGAAAGACTGCAATCTGCTTCCGCTGGCTCAGTGCTACTGCTTCTGGTATAATGATAATGAAGATGCAAGTTCGTATGTGATAAAATGAAGCATAAATATAACAAGAATAAAAAGAAATACCACTGTTCACATGTAGCTTTGATAAGCATATTTTTTTTAAATCAAGCACGTCAAGAAAAGGTAAAAGAAATGCCGAAAATAAAACACAGCCTTAAGCTTCATGAGTTACATTAGGGGCTTAGGTCATGCTAATGTGTATATTTACATTATATAAATAAAAATGATTCAACATAGGTGTCAAAATTGCCCCTTCTGAGCACAACTTGATTATCCACTAATGAAATGTAGCATACACATTACTGTAACTTTTGTTGTAAACAGCGTTTGCTCTAAAAATATTTTGTGAGATATAGGCAAGAATGCAAAAGCTGGGATAGCATAGTAAGTATAGTAACTGGCTATGGGCTGGACAACCAAGGCATTAAGAGTTTGAGTCCCAATGGGGGCAAGAATTTTCACTTATCCATGTCATTCAGACTGACTCTGGGGCCCTTCCAGCCTCCTATCCAATGGGTACTGGGGGCTCTTTCCTTGAAGGTAAATCGGTCTGTGCATGAAGCTGGCCACTCACCTCTAACTAGCGCTGAGGTCAAGAAAATGTGGGTCTATATATCCACTCCCCTCATACGCCTTCATGTCATAATTCTTAACCAGTTATTCTCACTAATCATGACATGTACCTCAAACAGTGTTGTTAAACAACATAAGAAAAATATAACCTTTTTCCAATGGATTTCAATGTCATCACACTTTTTCAATCTATTACGCCTTTTGCATTACCCTTTGAGGCTACTTATTTCTTACATTACATAAATTCCTGTTCACAATTGAACAGACAATTGAGTAAATCAAACTGTGAGCGTAGTCATGCGACAATGTGAAATGAAAGCTGACAAATGTCATATATGATTGATATTTGTTTCCATACCCTGACTCTTCACATGTAAACCTGATACTTATCCTCTGCATTTACTGGCATTCCTCCACGACCAAACCTCCAAAAATTTCCCATCATCTGAGAGAATTTTCCTCTTCACGTACAAGTTGATTTCTACTAAGGCATCTACTCTGCAGTTTCCTATCTCATGTGGGCTGGCAAGTTGAGAGGAACTGCAAAAAGTTAAGGACTCTGATGCAAGGAAGGGATGGGCAATTATTAAACATCCTAGACAAGATGGTGAAACCGACAAGCAGATAAATAGGAGACCCAATTTGTCACGAAGAGGCAGCATTCTTGGAACTGAATATTTCTACCTGTGCCTTTAGAAACGACTTTCCTTGGAATTAATAAATACGAGTACCTAATATTCTGTTTAATTTCAGATAACAGAATATTCTTGTAGACACTTTTAATCATTTTGTTTATAATTACAGAGTGGATAATCAACTGTGGTCATACCAGTACATCACCACATTATATGAGCTAAAAATCCAAGTTACCAACCATATTAACAATACAAAAACTTTCGTGACGTACCGAGTGGTTTTCTGATGTTCTCATCTGCATCCTCCTGATCAGAGCCCTCTGAAAGAAGAGCCAGTCAAGGTTGTAGGAACAACACTAACACTAATGACTAGCAACTAGCACTACAAACAACACATTCCACACTGGAGCAAAACACTAACAACAGGAAAACATTACAATACACTATAACCCATTTAAAACAAAAATGGTGACAGAAGGTGGGTCAGGTGGAAACATGAGTGATAAGGAGAGAAACAAGAGTCTGATGCAACTCTTATGAAAATAAAGTATGCTTAGGAATGAATTTACTTGACTATACAGAGAACAAAGGCATTCAATTCACAGTGCACTGAACTTTTTAAGTCATTAGATCCAAAGCAGAAGTGTAACAACTATGCACTGGGTCACCAAAATAACATTAGTAGTAAAGTAGTATGTTGAGAAAATACTGACAGGTCAGGAAAACACAATCAGTTTAAAAGCATTCAACTAAGTAAAAATAAACATAAAATATGAAATAATGGCACACAACTCCTTATTCAGTGCATCTGCTGTTCCACTACCTCTTGGCTCAAATACAGAGATCAATACTGCAGGGACCAGTCACAGATTTCAGACAACACTGAGACCTACATTCTAAGAGCAATTCCCAATTTCAAAACACTCTTTAAGAATTGTATAAAGTGAAATGCTGCTATCCCTATTTCATCAGTTCCATGACCATATCTTGGGTTCTCTAATTCTGTTGTCTTTAACACAAAGAATTAAAAATAAACTATCCTTAGGTTTTAGCTGAAACTCAAAATACAAAAGTAAGTAACAAATCGTTTTAGTTGTATGTTTTAGGTTCCTCATAATAGTGGATCATCTGAATCTCTAATACTAAATTTTTGAATGAGTAAGATAACAGTGACAAATTGTGTGCCTTCAAATAACAAAGCTGAATTCATTCAATCATAATTTTGTTCCAGAACATGAGAGAGTTGATTCAGTTTACTTAAATAGCGAGACAAAGCATGCTGAACCTAAGCCAGTGCAATATCGTTTCCCAACTCGTTCACAAAATGTTATGGAAACATTTTTTAAATTTTTTTAACAATGTCTTTCCATCTCACCAGATAATGTCCAAAGAATATTCCCATGATGATACTATGACATAGTGATATACCTTTACAAACAACAGAGATATTGGGTTTTCAGACTTTATCCATTGTCCTGGTTTTAAGATAACTAAGAAAAACATGACATTTCGGAAACTGGATTTGTTTCCGTCCTCAGGTGTTTTCCTTCACCTTAGGACGGAAAGAGACCCAGTTTCCGAAATGTCGTGTTTTTCTTAGTTATCTTAAAACCAGGATGACGGATAAAGTCCGAAAACCCAATATCTCTGCGTGTTATACACCACTGTCAGAATTCTATAGTAACTACTTTATAAACAACTTTCAAATTGCATTCTGTTTATCAAAAAGGCCAGCCAGGTTAATTTAAACATGGCCAAATGAAATCTATAATCCATTTGTAAACATGAAAACTTATCTGACCCCTTTCCTACTCACAATGGTCACGAGGGGAGGCTCAATCACCACTGCATTTGAGCTTTATGTCAGAATGCATCCCAAAGTAAACACACAGAAGTACGGAGGGTTGGAACTGATTACAACACACCAACTGCATGATGGTATTGAGTAGGCTGATGCATAAACACTGCTCAAAACTTGGATTCAGGAAGTACCCAGATCAAATCTTGTTGGGTTTTCAATTATTCTGACTACAGATTTTTGTATCTTTTCCACATCTCAGCATCAGTCAGGCCACAACCTTCATAATCATTACCTACTTGGCTTCAGAATCACCTTCCCACAGCATTATGAAGTTTTATCATATATAATTTCCTTTCATAATGTGGCCATGACAAATTTTTGCTCGAAAAGCACTGACTCATAATAGCATACAGCTCACTGAAGTATTAAGGGTCATTAGAAAGGGAGACAGCAAGAAAGTGAAGAGGTTTGGTAAGTACTGTTCAAACAAAGGACAGCAAACACAGAGCAACATGCACAGTATTGAAACTGGGTTATACTGTAATGCAAGTGACAATCAGGGTGGTATATGTACAAAAACTCTAACATTTCATGTAGGTTCTACATTCTCAAAACAACTTCAGGGAAAAGAAAAAAAAAAGGGGGGGGGGAGAAGATTAAAAAAAATGAACCGTCTTTTTCATTGATAATAATTTTCATTATGTACAGAATACAAATCTAACTTACAATATACATTCCAATGTCAGGAATAATACATGTTAGAGGTAAAAAAATATACAGAAATTTTTTCTTTGTGTGTGGGGGGGGGTTGTGAGGGTTAAGAATAGAAATAAAAGAAATTCCATAAAAATAATAATGTGTAATTAATGATTGAAATAAATAATAAAAAACTTCTTGAAACATTCCTCGTTTGAAATATGAGCCCTTGAAAGTTGAAACAACAAACACTATAGAGGGGGCAGCAGTGCCCCAACTACACAATTTACTTCCTTAGTATCATCTTTGGAGTAAGGTAAAGGTAAAGCTGTTCCTGTGCTTAGCTAATTAAGCACTACGCCATGAAGATGTATGGGGGACTGGATGTATAGACCAACGTTTCCTTGACCTCGGCAATAGTTGGAGGAGAGTGGTCAGCTTCACGCTCCAGCCGCTTTACCCCGGGGAAGGGGCCCCCAGTACCCAATGGATAGGAGACTGAGTGGGTCCCACAGCCAGTCTGGATAACTTGGAGAAGTGATAATTTTTGCATCCACCAGGACTTAAATTCCAACACCTTGGTCATCCAGCACATAGCCAGTCGATATACTGACTGTGCTATCACTGATATTTTTATAACACTAAATGCTATAATAGAATAAATGTGGGTATTCTGAGCTGCACAGTGTGTAAGGTCTGGATGGGGAGACTCTTGGTGATTGAAACCTTAAACAAGCATCTAAAGCATCCCTTTAATCACTAACTTTCCATAAAGAAATTAAATTACAAGAAACAGATTTCCTATAAATACATTTTATTAGCCTATCTAGTTACATGGGTATATCAAACTCAATGTGAATACTGTATAACATCTCCATCCCAACCGAATCATAGGGTTCCTTAAGTCTATAAATAGAACATGTATTGTCCCAATATCCTCCCATTTCTCTCCAGTGTCTAATGAATGCAGATAATCTGATCACGAGTTGATTGGTTGTGTCGAAATCCACAATGACGCTCTCCAATAATTTTGTTTGACGTTGACAATGCAAATATGCCTTATAATTATGTACTCAGTTTTTTTTCTGCCTTTTATCAGTCAATATTTTGGAGGAATATACTGCCTGCGTCTTAAGGGTCAAACAGTAAGACAAGCAAGAAATCAACATGCTTCAGGCAGCAAGCAGAGTCTGGCTTCTTGTTTTCATCCTGAAGATTAAATTGATGTCACATGTCCAGGATTCTGTGACAAATAATAATGGGTTCTGGATTAGTTGACCTTATACAATCAACTTCTTACAAGCACTGCAGTGCTATCGCTGATTTACACTATTAACAGTTCACTGTTATACATGCACTAGTATTCTCAGTCTTCAATAGTCATATCCTGATAACGGAATTAAAACAGTCTCACTGCGACTAAACCTTCTAGTCACACACTAAGTCTTCACAGGCTGATGTCTCAATTCTTCTTCAAGTACTAACTTCCTACAGACAACTCTGTTGTACTTCTTCAATTCTCAATCTCATACTCTCTGTTATATTCCTTGTACTCTTCTGTACTCCAACAGCTGAACACTCAACTCAACTACTCTAATGAACTGAACTCCCAATTATTTTTTGCCTCTCATTACATATATTCGGGTTGGACCTCACAGAAAACATGTGTCACAAATCAGAATGCATGTTCACTGGCCCTATTAGCCAGCACTGGGCATTGTGCGGACCACACAGAAAACACCTCTTCCATTGTCAGAACGTGTTTTTATGGGCCCCTTCCCTAGGGCTCGGCATGGTGCAGACCACATAGAAAACATTTCTTCCAATCTTTTTCTATTGTTACGTGCATGTATTTCAGGCACTGCCTAGACATGGGTAGATACATAACAGTATGTTCCTCCAAAATGTGAGGGCTCTCTCTGAACTACTTAACATTAAAAGTCAGAAGACTCCAATGTTCACAGTCACTGCTATGAGAACCTCAAATTCAACAAATTATTAATGAGTTTATGGATCGCACAACAGAATATTTATCTCCTGCCTGAATCAATTCTGTTCGAATTTGATACACACATGAGGGTGACTACACTTTTCCAACTTCTGAAAAGCAATCTGAGCCTTTGGGGGAGGGGGATGAGGAAAAAAACAGCTCAGGTGTATGAGTATGTACTTGAGTCTGAAGAACACCACTCACACTGCATATTCATTAGTTCCCAGAAGTAATTTTTAACACATATTGTGAATGTTATGGAAATCTGCCAACAGATAACCATTTTCGTCCTTTAACAGGTTTGTTCTAGGATTTCTACTGAAGAACGCCTGCAATTAATTACCTACAACAATCTTCAATTTAAATGTTATGTGTAATAATTTAATTTTCAATCACCCACACAGATGCTCCCACAATTATGCACAATTTAATTACAGTCAACTCTCGATTATCCGGGGGCGGATTAACCGGTTTGCGGCTTAACCGGGGCTTTTTTTTTTANCCAAATTTTCTTGACCTCGGCACTAGTTGGAGGTGAGTGGTCAGCTTCACGCCCCGGCCGCTTTACCCCCGGGGAAAGAGCCCCCGGTACCCATTGGATAGGAGGTTGGATGGACCCCAGAGCCGGTCTGGACGATTTGGAGAAGTTAAAATTCTTGACCCTACCGGGACTCGAACTCCGACCCTTCACAGTCGTCCAGCCCGTATAATAAAATTTGGCTTAACCGGGTTTTCGATTAACCGTGACTTCCATCCCCACCATTAGCCCGGATAATCGAGAGTTGACTGTATATTAAAAAAAAACTTTAAAATTAAACTTATGTTACCGGGTAAGTTTACTTCTAATATGGTGGGGTGTGTGTAGATATATACCAAGGTCACCTTCCTCACACAGTTGGGGATCTGGAGCATTTCCACCTCTTGTTGTGCTGACTGTACATATATGCACTTTACTGCAAAATATGGAACTTCTGCCCTCACACTCCTAGCCGACAAGCATAAAGGGATTTGCTACAAGAAATAGTAACTTCTGATAAAGCCTGATTTATATAATGGTATGTGGAACCAAACCCTTATTTATACAAGACATTTTTCTTAGCATTCCTTCCAGACTGCAGCAATTTTCTCAAATCTCTGAATTATTTCCCAAAATTCTAAAGCCATACAAATTCTACTGTCTGTCTGGGGGGTTCCCCCAATATTATGTTGTTCTGTTTTCCTTATCTGACAGGGTATAGTACGTAATTTTGAAGTGAGCATCTGGCAAAGGAAAAATTGAAGATACTGCACTGAATTATTTCCCAAAATTCTAAAGCCATACAAATTCTGTCTGTCTGGGGGGGGGGACCCCCAATATTATGTTGTTCTGTTTTCCTTATCTGACAGGGTATAGTACGTAATTTTGAAGTGAGCATCTGGCAAAGGAAAAATTGAAGATACTGCACTATATTATGAATATCAGAGGTTAAACAGTTCATGAGGTAAGTTTTGAGGTTTTCACGGCGATGACAATGAAGAAAGTTGTCTTCTGGGTTTAGGCCAAAACGAAGAATACACGGTGCCTAAACCCAGAAGACAACTTTCTTCATTTTCAGTTCATGAGGTAGTCCTAGTCTTGTGTACATTTTAAAATTACCCTGTATTTTCTTTTATTTTATGACAAGTATTTCTACAGTGTAAATATACCTGGCACTGTCATCAGAGGATTAATAATATTAGGAAATATACAATGAAAACAGACAGCAATACATAATACACACCTAGGGTTCTCCTTGTTTGTTTGTACACTTTCATGGGCTCATATCCATTCAATCAAAAGAAAAAAAAAAGAAAAAAAAAAAGAGAGAAAATGAGAGAGATGATAAGGGAAAAATCTCACCTTTTTTCTTCCCCCATGTTGTTTAATGAAACTATCTAAAAAAGTCCTTTTCTATTTCTATTGGTTTATTATACTTCAGGAACTGCCTTTTCAACTTCAAATAATGATAATATTTCTTCTATCATTAAATCACTATTGTTCATACATGAGCTTCACTGTGGCCTTCCAGGTATATAGAACACATTGAAAAGACAATTCCAAGGAACCTGTATCTGTGATGAATGTTTCTGTGACGTACCTGAGTTGAGTTCTCGAACCAATGTGGACATGGCATTAGTAACAGAATCTGCTGCAACCAAGAGATCATTACGAAGGCTTCGTCCGCTGCTGTTTGTTCCGGCAGCTGAATTACTGCCTGAACCAGCCAGAGAAGATGAAGATGTTCCTGAACACATGGATCAATATGCTTGAAAAGCAAAATAAAATCGCATTTGCCAAGAGGAACAGGTCTGGCATGGTATAAATATATGAATTCTTTTGACATTGGAAACTGCAACTTTATTTAAGAAGAGCATTGCCAACTGGGATGTTACGCCATGCAGTTTGGCAAGAGCTGGTCAGTGTTTCAGAGGAATGTACTGCCCTCACCTTCGGGGTTGAAGAGTAAGACAAGTTAAGAGCAAGCAGAGTCTGAGCAGCCTCCGTAGTCTAGGGGTAACGTTCCCACCTCATGACTCAGGGTACGCGGGTTCAAACCTGGCGGAGGTCGTGGAATTTTTAAGGGCGGAAAAATTCAGGGAACAAGTCCTCCGGGAGGGACTTTAAGCCGTGGGTCCCGTGTCTTAGATTTACGGCACGTAAAAGATCCTCGTATCTCTAGGAGACCTCTGAGCAAAATTAGGTAAAAAGTTTCCTGCCCAAGTAGTTTCCAATGCCTCCGGTAGATGGGGGAAGTATCAGGTACCTCTGCCAGTAGAGGGGCTGAACTCGCTGGCTGAACGGGGCTGATAGCAAGCATCAGTATCGGAAGGGTATGGTGACTGGTAGAATATCAAAGGGGGACGTACAATAGATCAACTGGTGGCGGTGCATGGGGGTACCCACCCCCTCTAATAATGAATGAATGAATGAATGAATGAAGCAGGGTCTGGCCATATTCCTCATTTTCCTCTTTTTCACATCCACTCATCACATTTACAGTCTAAAGCCTTTAACATTAGTTCTAGAGCCATGTGTACCAAGTACTTTCTGATCCATATGCGAATGAAGTGACTCTCACTGCCATGCGGTGCATACTCTGCTCTCATACAGACTGTTCTAAGAACAAGTTCCAGGAAGCCTAAATTAAGATGTTTTACTTCAGTTTTGTGTAACATAAGATCACTATACAGAGCTACAGTATCTGCACTGTTCAACTACTTCCCTTGTCCGTATTCCTCATGTAAGGGGGATCAAGACACCCTGAGCCATTTTTAGCCTACTTTGCTTTCCTCAAAAAGAAATGTAAGATTATGAAATTACTGTCCTGTATGTGTTCTCACATTCAACTTTTGAACTAACTGGCTGATGTTCAAGAGATCAGTAAAATACATTTTGCCACCGGTGGCTGTATGAACTCTGCAGATTTTAATTTCTTACAGTAAAGTAAATTAAAAAGTAAAGCTATCCGTGTAACAGGCTGTAAAGGTCAATAGGGTTGTGAGACGTTTAGGGTCCCACATTATCTAGACAATCGGCTCAAAGATGACGGTAAGATTGTCAGCCTTACACTCCAGCTGCACTTTACTCCCCAGGAAAATTATTTAATTAATTCCTGGTACTCATTTCTATTATTGGCTGAGTTGACCCCAGGGCCATAGTGTAGGTAACAAAAAAGTGGCAGATGTATATACTCGTCAGGTGAAAGTAACATGTTATACCACTTATGCTAGGGTTCTGAAATGATATAGGGTAACAGACCTTTGGAAAATATTCAACTTTGTTATGATATCATGTGGAACATGAAACAACCAAAATGGTGGTAGTATTAAAGTTAAATTAAGTTTCAGTTTGACAGTAATAACATGCATCAGTGTAGGCAGGAGTGTAGATGTACAGTAAACATATCTGTAAGTTTTGTATTAAGACAGTGTTTATCAGACAACAATCAAAAACAAGCAACAGTGAGAAATTGGGATTTATGTTCAACAAATTTTATGCAGACAAAATCTGTACTTAAACAGGAAGTTCTTCCACAAAAGGATAATGCCACTGATGCTGCCAGCACCACCAGAAACAAGAACAGCAGTTTTTAACAAATTTACAATTACAAACAGTAAAAATCTGAGGTCACTAGGCTTTGACCATGAGTGAGCAAGCAGCCCACAAGCTAAAACGAATTCTGCTGTTGGATTATAAACTTCTATTACCTGAATATGACACTAACAATATAGGATCTGCAGGACTGTAAACAGGCTCCATGAGTTCTACCCAGAACTCACTTTAATTTCACACAATCAATAACAGAAATGTGGCAGGGGCAGAGGCCTATGTATAAGGTGGTATAGACACTGGCAGCACTTGGGCCCCCAGATGGTGTGCAGGCAAAGCTCTAAAAAAATATGCAACTTCTGTCAAGGTAATTTTTTCAGCTGCAAGATGGTTTTCTTTAGCTTTGTCTTGATGATGATAAATAATGGACTAGTTAAAATTAAATTAAATTTGCTTAGTGGGGGGGTGGAGTCCAACTGGGTCCACTCGGCATGGTGGCCACTGATTGGCCTATTGTAGCCTGCTCTGGGTGATTATGATGATGGAGAATTTGGTGGAATGAAGATTGGCAGGGGAAACCAAAGTACTTGGAGAAAACCCGCCCCAGCGCCACTTTGTCCACCACAAATCCCACTTGACCAGACCTGGGATCGAACCCAGGCTGCCGTGGTGGGAAGCCAGTGACTAGCCACTTGAGCTATGGCATGGCCTAATGGACTAGTTTATGTGATCCTGTGAAATCCAGTATTCAGATAGGCCATAGTTGCAAGTCACCGTGTATGAAATACTGTTCAAACTTAAACAATTTTACATGTCAACAGTATGATACTGTGAGCCTATATCCAACAAGGTTAATGCAGACATAATCCGTACGCTGTTGATAAGTTCTTCATGAAGATAAAATAAAACAACAGTAACACTAATAGAGCTGTTGGACTAGGAATTTATGCAACATGGAAATAAGCCTTGTGGGTTCTCTCCAGAACTACTCATTATAATTTTGTGCAGAATGAGAAAACTGTAGTAATGGTACAATTTTAACTGCTTCATGCGTTACGTGTGTTATTCGAGTTTGACCCAAATCAACTAGTTTATTTTCACATGCTAAATGTGCAAGGACTTCCAGGGCCACAAATGCCAGCAGAACGTGGAGGGGAGTTGCAGGCATGCAACAAACAGTAGGTATTTCTGCTTGTAATTACTTCTGGGCTGTTAGTATGATGAGGGCATGTAAGTACAAGAAAATCTTTAACTTGTTAGTTTAGGTAATCCTAATGACAATGAGAATATTGAACTGTTCTTCGTTTTCAAATCTCTGTGACGACCATTAAAAAAAATGCCGTAATCTCATTTTTTAAAATCTTGGTGCCATAATATATTACATGCAATTGAAATTTGGGGGATGGATAAATAGTTACATATTTCAATAAATTTTGGATACTGCAAATATCTGTTAGAACAAGCATGTTTATGCATTTTACAAGGCAACGTTGTGTCTACCATCTGGGTGATCCATGCTGCACAATTCTAAAACTCAAATCACTGGTTCAGTCTTAATTGAAAATAATTCTGACCCAATATAATGTTGGACAGAGTTTAACAATTTTAAAATTAAAACAAAACTGGATTTGGTGGAATTCATATCCTAGATTAAGAACCTCCAAAGGTTCAATTCATGACTTTTTAAACTTAAACATCACTTTTTTTTCTGTGAAATTTTGGAGGTAGAGATGAACAAGTGATAATTAGAAAAAGCAACTTACCTATGAGGGACGATGATGTCCCAAAAGCAGACCTCACATCTCCTCCAACCCCTGTTAAAGAGTCAGCTCCTGTTCCCAAAGAGGCCATCATTGACGGCTGGAGTTGACCTCCTGGGGTGGGAGGAGCCGAGCGAGAAGATGGAGCTCCTGGAGGAAGTGGAGGAGACTTTGTGGAACGCGGCGATGAATTGGGTGTCGATCGAGGGGAAGCCTGATGATTCTGGATAAATCAGAGAAATGCACTCCAGGAAGCTGAACAGATACAGAGCCTGTTCCCAGGCAGGCAGTTCCTTTGCTTACACTGATTTGTGTAAAATAATTGGCCATGTTACTACAAAAGTGTTAAGATGCATTCCAGCTAGAAGGGCACGAGCTCCAACTTGGTCCTCTGCGATTTGGTATTCTCCATTGTTCTTGATGTTTATTAGCTGCAAAGACACACCTATTACTGGCAGAGACAAGGAACAGTGGGAATAATATGCTGCAGGAATCACAATCACTCTTCCTTGTACTCTGATAACAGAGAAACCAGAAAACGCCTCACACAGGGATTGACTACCTTACAGTTACACACTATGTCATGTATCAATGTCTTACATGATGAGCTTTTTAAGAAATGTCATTATGTGTGACTTAAGTTTCATGCAAGTATGAAAGCCCACCATGGCAAAGTCCGTCAAAATCAATTATATAGGTCTGCATACAAAATACATACACAGTAATGCATAATGTTTACTGTTTCTTTGGTACTTCCATGCTACACCAACTAAAGAGAACATACAGCAAAACACTTGACATGATGTGATTATAAACGACTCAGGAGGAATTACTGGGTTTTTGGACTTTGTCCATCATCAAGTATTCTAGAAGTTAGAAGACGCAATGTTTTGGAAATTGAATCTGTTTTGGTCTTCAGGTGAGGGGGGGGGGGAGACACCTACTCTTTTGGGTCCCTTAGAAATTGTGGTTCATTGGCTATGTTCCTCCCCATATCAGGAAAACAAACAGCTCAAAACAGTCCAGTATTGGTGATTTATCGGCTCTATGAGCACTGGCATAGTGAAATCTGTGAACAGTGGGACTGAACACAGTAGTACTGCACTAATACATTAGTACCAGGGTTCTATCTTTGTTTACGCACATAAGGTTGTGTTCTCTCTGCATCAGCGCTCTCACTTGCACTCTTACTGTGTACTACTGTATTAACTCATTCAATTTCACACTTATGAAACTCATCTTCATGTTTTACAGTTGTTAGTAAGTCTGCAATTTCCTCATCCATCATCCTGCACACTTTATGGGGTCCACTAGCTGAAGCCACTTTCACTAGCAAAGATGACCAAGGTGACGTGATGCATGCAGTATCATATTCACGCTGCTAGATGCAGTAGTTCCTAAGTCCCTTTACATGCTGCATACAAACACAACAACAGGTGTGCCTTGCAGTTCATTGTTTGCGATAGACAGAAGGATAAGCGTGACTTATTCAGAAAGTCAGTTGGGATGATACTACAGCTGTAAGAATACAGGAGCAGTAAGGACACAAATTTCAGCCATGCCCACAGTATTATGGGCTGGGCAGCATAAAGGTTAAAATTGGTATTAGTGTCATCATATGATCTATGCCTTGGTCTAATAGTTACCTTCCCTACAGCTTAGCGAACTACAGCGCTGTGCACATGCCTTGTCTCACCCAGAACAACCCAGATTAAAAATGTGAACACAACATGGATGGTATTTTCTGCATATAATATTTGAGGCTGGCAATGAGAAAGTTCAAAGCAGATAGGATGGACCACCTTGAGCAGTTTCATAAGGCCCTCCAGCTGCACCATAAGCTGTCTACGTGAATCCTGCAGTGTTCCCAAATGGCTCTCCAGCTCATCTTTTCTCTGCCTCAAAGCACGCAGCTCAGCCATCAGTGCAGGGTTCTCTTCACCTGTCGCCCCTGGTCCTATGCCAGCCGCCTCAAGTTCTTGCTGGCGTCTGCAAGCAGAGAGAGAGGTTGAGAACCACACCACTTTAAATCCACTCATAGTTCCATGCCTGCTAGCGAGAACAGAACACGGCCCACAGGAAGAGAAGACATTTGACACATCTTATCAGTGCCCTTACATGAATGTGGATTTGGAAGGAAGCAGTCATAACCTATATCAGGGTACTTGTTATCCTGGCATCTGCCTGTAGAGACCAAGAAAAACCAAGAAATACCTGTCAGGGTAACCAATGTCCTGCCTTGTTATTTGAGCCAGAAAAGTTCTGAATGCAAATCAGAAGTGTTTTACTTGAGCCAGCTTGCTCAGTCACAAATCACTTCAGATGATACACAGAGTGACAAGCATGGTAAGGTGTATTTAAAAGTTGAGTGCAGTAGACGTGTTCCAAACATGTCCTTTGCAATACTGCCTCCCTTACTACTGGAGATGTTCACTTACTGTAGTTATAAACCATTTTTTTATAGAAAATAAACAGTACAAATCATGCATGGCAGACAAGCATAAATTTCATTCAGATTATGGTCTTTTGGGGTGTGACATCATGCTGCAGTCTGGTAGACAGACACTGATGTTTCAGAGGAATGTGCTGCCTCCATATTCACGGTTTTAGTATTCATATCCAGGAGACAGCTGTCTGAACATTAACCACTGTAAAAACCTTAGGTCCACAATGGATGAAATTTCTTTAAATTTCTTCTTCACTCTTCACAATAGTGTTTAGCAGGGACACTGAAGATCTCAAGTGTGATGCCAGTTCAGCATGTGTTCCAGTACGTCCATTAGCTTGCGCTAAAACACTCATTTCCCCTTATTATCCATATTTCACTATCTTGCAGTGAAATTCATCTTAATCGACAAAAAAAATATGGTCTCTATGAAGTGAAGGCACATTGAAGAATTTATCCTTGGGTGAAATCATGCTGAATGTTTCACTTACCAAAACATACTTACTGTGTTGCAATAGTCATTTTTTTTTTTGGAATATTGTCAGACACGAGAGAGACACAATGCTCTCATTGTGTTACAGTTATACTAAGGTACAACAAGATCAAAGTTGGCCTACTGCACAAGCTGGATAGTGGTGGTGGAAAATCCCCCCATGCGTGATAGGCCTTAGTGAAGTAACATGCTATGTGCAAGTCATTTGCAACAGTGCATCACCCAATTGGTAGTATATACTTTTAGACAACAATTTGCAACTGTTAACAGGGAAGAGAGTCAAATGCACTGAATAAGCCATTCTGAGAACTGAAATACAAAATGTAAGACTGGGTAAATTTTCATAGTCAGGGCTAGAAAAATGAAGCACAATTTCAGAGAAAATCTGAAGCTGAGGACATGCAGAAATCAAGCAAATTTGTGGGAAACATATATAATCTGAGATAATAACATCAAAGCTTCACTGTATTGCATTTCTCTTTACATAGGAAAAGTAGGCTAAAACTGGGTTAAATTTACTAAAGCCTTAATTCCAATTATTGGAAACAAAATATGACCATTTTCTGGTTGTAGGCTGACCTGAAGTGTGCACAACATAAACAAGCAATACCTTAACCTTGCTATCTCGCGCATTATCTCCCGGTTCTTTGCTTCCAACTGACTGATGAGCTCCCTTTGTGCACGTGATGTATCCAGGCTCAAGCTGCCTTCTGATGGAGCACGACCCTGACACACAATAAAAAATTATTAAGCACATGCCTGAGTTTAAATAAAGTACATCCAGCCTTTCAATTATGAATATTCAGTTTAAAAATGTTGCTTTATCCAGTAATCTTCTGATACTTCAGATCTGCAGTTACATGGCCTTCTCAACTGGAACAAATTCATGTCAGCTTAAGCTACATAACAGAATAGTATCCACAAATGAACATATCCCATATTTTCTCATACTGCGCTCAACAGCTACTCTGCCACAGATATAATTTGCTAATGTAAATATATAAAATATATTTCTTTTAAATCGTTAATTTTTTATTTATGAAACAATACAAGAAACTTTTCAGAAACAGATGATCTTTCATAAATCAAGGAATAAATGTACAGACATATACAAATTCCAACCTCACAGTTGACATATATAGTAATTACTTGCACAGGCCGCGCCAAAGCTCAAGCAGTTAGTCACTGGCTTCCCACCATGGTGGCCCGGGTTCGATCCCTGGGTCTGGTCAAGTGGGATTTGTGGTGGACAAAGTGGCGCTGGGGCAGGTTTTCTCCGAGTATTTTGGTTTCCCCTGCCAATCTTCATTCCACCAATTGCTCCACAATCACCCTCACGTATCATCTGGGGCTGGTACAATAGGCCAGAAGTGGCCGTAGTACCAAGTGGACTCAGCCCCACGCCACCAAGTAATAATAAAAAAAAAATTACTTGCATTCATACACACAGGATTTTATAGAAATGTAATGTTTAATAAACATTCACATCTGAAATATGTACTACATTCAATATATTTTTGGATTTTCGATATTCAAATTGTGAATATTTCTTCCTCACGAAGATCACTAGAGTAATTTCAAGTAGAGGTATACTCTTCCCACCTGCAAGAGATTACCTACAATACAGCCACAGAACAGAGCAGAAGCAAAGCTTGCAGCTGATTTTCAGTGTGCATACATGAGTCAGCCATATAACACACAACACATGTGACCATGATGTGTGACAAAAGAACGTAACTTCTCAACGCTACACTATGCTGAGTTTTGTACTGTATATCATCACAGCTGCTGCCATTCCAGGTCATGTGGACTGGTAACATGAAGACAAAAGCGCCTGATAGACTGCAACTTTTGGATCATAGTACCTAGATCCTATACAGCGTGTTTCACGACTTTAGGGCATAACTGCAGGAGGTGATTTCCTAGGTATTTTTGATCAAAAAAGTTCATATAAACATATGTCCGATTTTGGACGGTTACGGAGTTATGACCTTTTTAAACTCAGAACAGAAGGTAACGATTACTGACAATAAACGGAACAAAATAATAAACCAGCATAATACACGATACATTTAAAGTATGAATGTAAAGTTAACTTCGTGAAATTACCTTTAATTTGAATTTATTGGTGCTTAAAGCTGATTTTCGAAAATGCCACCGCCGGCTGCAACACAGGCTGCCGCTTGGTTGTGAACCGCACCAGACATACCAACCCCCCTGCCTTAGGTACAGCTCAAGTGTCGAGATAACGACAACACTCTGTCTGTAGCTGGCTAAAAATAGCGACCCGACAGATGACAGATGCGGTTCACACGAGGGCAAGTACAGGAATGAAAAAATGGTCATAACTCCATAACCGTCCAAAATCGGGCACATGTTTATATGAACTTTTTTGATCACAAAGATCTAGGAAATCACCTCCTGCAGTTATGCCCTAAAGTCGTGAAACACTCTGTATATACTCTGTGGTGTACTTCAGACGGATCACACATGAGGACTGAAAAGGAGATGGGAAACACTTACTATTATAGTTCTGGATCCTTAAGTACTTAAGAGTGACATTACTGTTATGACTTAGTGATAACTTGTCACTGTGGTGGTAAATGATAGCTAAGAAATTGTCTTTTTGTCTGCAAAGCACTATAAGCAAAATCTGTGGAAGCAACAGAAAGCTTTAATACAGACAATACTTCCTCCAAAACACTGAATTTTGTACAGGAAAAACAATGTATATACAGTAGAACTTGGTTATAACGTCATCAAAGGGACCTAAAAATAGTGTCATTATAAATGAATGTCGTTGTAACCGAAATGGGCACTTCCACAGTAGCCTTATGTTAGTCACGTAAAAATCTACCAAAAACCGAGTTAAAATGTTGCATTTTTTAGTGAAATACGTAGTTAAGTACAGACTAACGTAATATTAACGTGGAATTGCCCAAATGTGTAATATCAAAGACATATTACAGCGCTTTTCACTGACAATACACACCGCACTAATTCTGTATATTAAAGGTAGGCCTACTCACCAAATTACAGTAGATTACATCAATTGTTGTGCCTTACTGTACCTAGATACGAGTACAGTAATCAGTTATCTTCATCTGTTTCCTGTTACTTGCCCAATACACACTTTCTAAATTACGTTCAATGTCCATATCAGAGAAATTCAGGAATGAAAATGACGTTACATACGAGGTTGATGCATTTGTGCATGTCGTACTAAGCAAGGTATAAAAACAGTTGCTTTATGAGGAATTAGTTCGTACCATTGAATATCTGACGCAATAGGCAAGGTGTTGCAGAAACCGATGTTGCTATAACCAAGTTTTACTGTATTTCATATTTAAGGGGACAAAACACACATGCATCTTAGAGACGAAACCCCAAGCACAAACAGTTAGAAGCACAAAGCACATAAAAAATCGAAAATAAAATTAAAATGTATCAAAGAGAGACATTCTGTGATGCTGTGACCTGACCACAATCTACCAATAGGTAGCTTTTGTAACGACACTGACAATGAATACCCTGAACAGCTATTTACTTTGGTGGAAATTCTGGAGTAGGAAGTGCATGGCCTATGGCCTTTATGCATCATAAGAGGTAGAAAGAAACCCTTTAATATCAAATAAACAGGTACTATACTACATCACTATTATAAACGACTTAGGTGATAAGAAATTAGCATATTCTCAGAACTTTAAAACAGCATAGAAACTCATAAATTTATCTGCTGATGTTCTCCAGTAGTTACTCTGCCAAGTCACTGAGATATATGAATTCTTCCCATGTATGCCACAACTGTCTCATCAACACTGGTTAAGGTCTGTGGAATTTGCTCTCAAAAGGGACTGTGGAACTGGACACTGGTATACCTGGTCTTTCACATATCCTACTCGTCCTATTCGAGCCTTACGTGCTTGGGACACCACTTTCCTTTGACAGTGATCAGAGCATCACTCACAGCTGGTATGTTACAATTGATGTTGCCAACAAAAACTTGACGAGTTTGCTTGCTGTTTTGAAGTTGTTTCATGTTTGTGTCTGCAACCATTTTGAAAATACACAAATTTCCCATCACCCAACTCATTTATGAATAGCACTTACAACTCAAAACAACTACTCTTATATTATGATAACAGCATAATATAACATGGGAAGTATAGATGAAACTTCAATTGCTGGAGTATGATATCTCCAGCATGTTGATTCCAGAATCCTATCTCTGCAACTCTGATGAAAATTCTGTCCAAACAGAAAGGCAAGGAGGCAGCGAGACTGAGAAAGTAGAGCTTCCAGAATTAATTCATGCTAAAAGCTTACAATGGAGCATACAAAGCATCACATGATGAGGTGGAACCTACTTTTCAACTCAAAGTGATTGACTTACACTGAAGTGATGAACTTAGGTCTAAATTCAAAGAAGGTGTTTTGCTTAACTTTTATTAAGTGCCTTCCTAAAGGTAAACATCCAAATCTGTGGAAGGCAGCTATTTGTGAAAGTTTATTATGCACTTATATTTGAAAACAGACCTTCTCATCATTAAAGATGTATCTAAACAACAGAACCAGCTGACAGATGAAAATCTTATGTCAATCCTTCACTTACAACAAGCATCACACCTGACTTGAATTTCTAGGCAACAGCAGTGTGGGCTTAACAATCACACCAATATGTTACGTTCTCATTACTTAAACATTTTAACTTTTCTCTACAATGGCTTCTTAGTGTTACAATATATTGTTTAAAATAAGTACTTGATGAATTCCATATAGCTCTGTACAGAAGTAGTTCCAACTGTCAGAACATAAGAATTAGATTATATAGGATTATTACATGACCATCAACATAATAATTCATAATAAATAAACAAATNCAGGCCGCTCCGTGGACACGAGGTTGAAGGAGCATCAGCGGCACATCCGTCTCGAACATCCGGACAAGTCGGCCGTAGCTGAACACAGCATCGAACTGGGACACCGCATTCAGCTTCAGAATACCTCCATCCTCGCCACCAAGACGCGCTATATGGATCGCATCATTAGGGAAGCCATTGAGATCGAACTGCATCCAGGGAATATGAACAGAGAGGATGGGTTTCGTCTCAGCAAGTCTTGGAAACCCCTTATCTGTTCTCTTAAAAACCACCCACCGGGATATGACGCCAGATCCAGGAAGCCACAAGGCCATGACCAACCAACATAACAACCCCCCACCCTCAGCTCACAGTTAAAGCCCAGCCATTTAACCTTGCTACACTCTCCCCTACACAAAATCACGCTTGTCCCGGCTCCCTTCCCCCACCCCTCCCACACCACCGCTTTCACTTGTTTACTTGCAGTTCATCCCCTTCCCTCTCTGCTCAACGGTATGTTCTTTAGTCTGCTTGACTGTGTCTCACGGTGTTGTCGCTTGCAGATTTACCTATACTTCTTCAACCCTGAAGATGAGGGCGATACGTTCCTCCGAAACGTTGGTTAACACCACATATACACGGTGCCAAATCCCAGAAGACTGCTTTCTTCATAGTCACCGCCGTGAAAGCCTCATCTTACAAATATTACTCTATTAATATTCATTTTTATGTATGTATATTTGCTACATTTTTCATTCCAGCAGGATCATTATCAGGCAAGTTTCATGAAATATACTACTTGTATTGTATTTCTAATTTGGATCCAAATTAGTGATCATTAATATATATTTCATTAATGATTCCTTTGTTTCATTATATTTGAATATTAGTCTTAAAAAGTAAAATGTCATAATTCAGTTAAAGTTAAAAATTATTTTCTTCTGTTTATTTGAGAATGATGTAAAACTCTGTGATGTATCAGAGAGTAGAGGCAGTTTTCTGGGAGTCTGCGTTGTTTTTAATTCTCTGTGCATGTATTATGTGGCTGTTTTCTGCATGTAAATGGCGTATGTTCTATTTTTCTTTTGCGGTACTGTGAGGTGACAGTGGCAAAGTTACTGTGTACGTGCAGCATCGTGTCCTGCATAGGGTACCACATCTTCTTGCTATTAGACAGTAGGTATTCACTTTCTGTGGTTTTATTTGTATGTTTATCGAGTCTATATTATGTGGTCCACAGACAAAGCAAGTTGATAAAGTGGCCCTTTGAAAGAAAAGGGCTTTGCATCAATGATCTAAACAGACTAATAATATACTGCTACACTGACAGAATGTTTTCATAGGACAGGACACACAAATAAAACAAACTGGTTGCTTTCAGCATCTATCATGAATGTATACAAAATATTGGAAAAATTAAAATAGATTATAGCTCTCATGCACTGTTGAGCTTTGTTACCAATTTATTAGCAAATGAATACAGCTGATACCTACTACTGTGCGTGGAACTGGTACTGTCCTTTGTACTTGAGGTTGCACCTACACAAATGGAAATAAAGAAAAACAAGAAGCAATTAAAAAATGAAACAAATATTAATGCAGCAGGCATTTGCAACAAACACAGAACATAACCATGAATAAAGAGCTGTAAATGCTCTGGAAACTAACTTACTGTAAAGAAAGCCATCTTCTGGGATGTGGCGCCATGTAGAAATTGTGTTAACCGGTGTTTTGGAGGAATGTATCGCCTCCATCGTTTCTCCGAAACGTCAGTTAACACAATTTCTACACAGCGCCACATCCCAGAAGATGGCTTTCTTCATAGTCACCACCGTGAAAACCTCAAATCTTACATAACTTACTATACATCCAGTATCTAAATCTGTTATTCTAAAACTAAAGTCAATTAAATCAGACTTCAAACAGATAACTATATTTGTCCATAAATTCATACGCTATCACTGAATCTGCAAAATGCTTCATTATTTGTAATAACTGCTGTGTACTGATGAAGCAGGGAAATTTACTGAATGAAGCTGAAACAAGGAACAGGAGATCTGGTGCCAAATTATACATCACATGTGCCACACTGAATCAGAAATGGGTGGAATCATATTGTGGCGTATTTGACCAACACACTGCCAAGTGTAAACACGATATGCATACACAACAATAGAGCAAGCTGTGTTTTCTGTGTCTGGCAGCTAGCACAGGAGCAGTGATGTCACACATCAACAGTAGGTAGCACTCATGTGACATGTGTTTCCTGTGTGTCCTTCAGCTTGCGAATGTGTAGTGACATCACACAGCAACAGTGGGTAGGGTTTGCGTGATATGTGTTTACTGTTAGTTGATGTCTGTCCCTCGGCTATATAAGCGAGCAGAATTCCCAAGCTGACAGAGTTCAGTTGAGGGCAGTAGAGTTGTAACTCGTGAAGACTAGTGGAAACAGACAGAAGATTAGTGTGGAGAGCTCAGAAGGGCTTGCAGTTGAGAGTATAAGGATGACAATGGAGCGTGTCCTTAGTGAACTGTGAAGATCACGTACAGATTGGGACAGAGTGATTGCAGACAAGAAGCCTTCATAGTGATCTGAAGTGACAATTTCTGTGTCGAGATCCGTTGCCAGGAGATGACTAGTAAAGATAGAAAATCCTAGTGCGTGTGCAACAGCAAACTGTAAATTGTATAAATCAGCGACAGTGCGGTACTAAATGTAATTAAGAGAGACTGCAACCAAAGTGCTAATAAATCCAATCATCTGAACTAGAACCCATCATTTTCATTGCGTGTACCACCCTACACATGACAATATTATGACCTCAGACATGCAGGGATGCATGTGACAGTACATACGTTCCACTACACAGTGTGCCATGTAAAAATAACTTCCATGAACAAAATGAGAACTGCCTCTGTAACTTCAGGCGGATGGACACATGCAGAAGACAAGCAACATGCACACTGCGTGCAGCTAATCTTAAGATTTGGTTGATTAGTTACTCAGTAGTTTAAGATGCTGTATCAACTGCTGGGGTTGTACAGCATCAAATACAATATGATGATAAATAGATGGAAAGAGGAAGGACGTGGTTGTGGCCCTTACAAGGAGCTGTCCTGGAATATCCCCAGCACAAACCTCAGGATACCCAACCACCCTTGTGCCAACTGCTTAACGCATAAGAGCTGGGAATGGGAATTTTTAACAATGGGAACTCTGGCTGTGAAACAGAAACAGCACATATAACTGCTAACACCACCTTTAAAAGTATTATACTTCTAACTGCTGGTAGGATTAACAAAAACATACCTGTTAACTCTTTTCATTCCAGAAAACTGACTGAACTAATGAGGTAGCTTTTGCTCAGCCTGCCACAACTCAACTGGGGCTGCTTTATTAATATTTGTAGCTCACATATATTTTTAGAGATGGCACAATGTAAAAAGCCAGATTGTTGACACTTCAGTTATTCAGTATAGAGGGGGTGGGTTTCCCCATGCACCGCGACTAATAGTCTATTGTACGTCTCCCTTTAATTTCTACTGTCTCCCTACCCTACCGGTACTGGTACCCGCTATCTCCCCTTTCTGCCAGCGTGGTCAACCCTCTACTGGCAGTGGTACCCGATAACTCTCCCCTTTCTGCCAGCAAGGTCGGCCCTCTACTGGCATTGGTACCCGATAACTCTCCCCTTTCTGCCAGCAAGGTCGGCCCTCTACTGGCATTGGTACCCGATAACTTTCCCATCTACCGGAGGCATTGGAAACTACTTGGGCAGGAAACATTTTGCCTAATTTTGCTCAGAGGTCTCCTAGAGACATGAGGATCTTTTACATGCCGTAAATCTATGACACGGGACCCACGGCGTAAAGTCCCTCCTGGAGGACTTGTTCCCTAAATTTTTCCGCCCTTAAAAATTCCACAACCTCCACCAGGTTTGAACCCGCGTACCTTGAGTCATGAGGTGGGAACGTTACCCCTAGACTACGGAGGCCGTTTGTTGACACTTACTGTTTCTTACCTTGCCAGCAGTGGTACTGCAAGTCAGGGACCAACACCAATAAATGTCAAACATTCTGAATTTCAAATTAAATTTCATGGCTAAACAACATAAAGAAATAAACATAACTAATGTAAATGACAAGGTATTTCAAGCTTAGAATTAATATTATAATACTTATTTCTCTACAATAAATCAGTTACATTCTTTGAACAATCTTTATACTGTCTGCTCACTCACCACTGTTCTGGCTTCAGCAGCAAGGCGAGCAGCGTATCTCGCAATCAGACGGTGCTCATCGTCTAGACGCGTCGACTCTAGACTTGATGTGTATCGCCCTGGGCTGCTTGAACACAAACCACTGTAATATCAGCAGAAGGTCACAATCAAACAATGTCATATTAAATATGTAATACATACTTGGCTATATTTATCAGTCACCTGTGCACAACACAACACAACACAACACTGATGTTGTTCAGTTGTGTCATTCATTTATCTGTCACAGTCAGTATCAAGCACTGGACATCAGATTACAGATAAATTCCTGTAATGGTTACATATAGGGGGGATAGGATGTGCCAGTTACATCGAAAAATCTCTTACAGAACCCAACTTTCACATGAAATTGGCCCTTTTCCAGTCTTTAAATACTTCCATTTTCTGGAGTCAAAGCAACATTCTTTTATTGTATTCTAACAGGGAGGTCTTCTTAGGAGACATGGCAAATTGATGGTCTTCATCCACTTGCACAACGGTCTTACACTGGACTTCATCGTCCTTGTCATGTCAGATCATACTCCCTTACCAAAAACCATTCAGAATACAATTGTTCTCAGTGATCATTAACGGACACGTAAGTATGAGGTCACTTATCCTGATATGACCACACAATCAGTATTCGCTGCACGAATCGCAGACTTGGCATATCCAGTGTTAAATGACCTCCAGATGCATCCAACAAAAGCATTCCTTGTTCTCCCAACAACACTCTTGGCCTCATGTTCCAGCCCCAGATTATACTTGATGAATGTGTAGCAGTCAGTGGAATGGGAATTGGCAGGGGAAACCGAAGTTCTCAGCAAAAACCTGCCTCAGTGTCACTTTGTGTCCACCATAAATCCCACATGACTTGACCTGGGATCTAACCTGGGCTGCCGTGGTGGGAAGCAGGCAACTAACTGCCTGAGCTATGGCAAGGCCCTCGTGATGATGGTACAGTGGACGTAGAGTTTAACAAGGACTCCGAACCAATGCGGAGGAGTAGGTGTGGCATTCCCCACATGCATGAAAATTTAACAGTCACAGGCAAGAGATGGGGAAGGCACATGGAGGGGGGATCCAGTGATCTCAAACCCTTGGTTTTTGGTACTAAGGTCTTATGTCAAACCCAAAGACCATAACTAATTAATGTGAGTTTCTGAGTTAGAATATACCACGGCTGATTCCCTTTGAACTTCGGAACATGCCACAGAATAAATGTTCAAGTCAAATGTTGGAATCTGGAAGGGTAAGTATATTTCTAAGAGTGAAACAGAAATGACAGGATTCTGTAAGACACAATAAAACCTTCTCGTTGGTGGTTTCCAATTTTTATGGGTTTCTTGTTTTCATATTCCATAACAGTCAATATTCTGGTCCTCTTTCCACAAATTCCTAACAGAAGGGAGATGGCAAACTTCTAACACCATGAAGTTCGAAACCTTTGGTTCAGGCAGTAAATCCTGATTCTGTAGGTTACATGTTTTGGTTTAAGCCAGAGTTCCTTATGAGTAATTAAATACAGTTTTAATATATAAGCCAATACTGTAGCATGCATAGCCACTGCTATGCAATGATCGTGTGATCGGTGGTTATATCAGACCCATTTCTGGGCAACAGTTCAGTAAACACATTCCCGTGGCAATGGTTACATATGCAACAGGGGATACGGAATGTTGTCTATACAGTCTGCACTGAGGAGGTTATGAAGAAGACAATGGGGGCAACCAGTGAGTTAAGTTCTGTAAGAGAAGCTGAGAAGAGACAGTTGAGTTTGTTGAGTTCTGCATGGGTGGCTGAGTTGAAGAATCTCCACTGTTAGAAGCCATTGCAGGCTGTAGAAGACTTAGAGTGTAGTGACTTGCAAAGTGGTCAATAAATCCATTCACCAATCCATACCCAGTCTAGAGTCACATTCTAAATATGTGACAATATAAGCGTCATCAGTAGCGACTTGAAGCACAGAGCAAATGATGCTCGAGATGGTTCAAGTTCGTATAGCAGCAGGCGTGACCAGAGTGGTTTGAACGGCTGCTGTACTGCGATGTGGAAAGCAAATGGAAAAACTACCACATTATCACTTTTCCTGGATAGTCTCTTTCCAAAAACAGAGATACCATATATGCGAGATGTTTCCTCTGGAGGCAAAACAATCCGGAGGTAAACTACTCCCCCAATCGGATCTCCGGGGGGGAGTGTTTCTAGAGGAAATGTCATGCAGGCGTT